TGTAAATTGGTGCAGCCACTATGAAGGACAGCACGCAGATTTCTTAAAAAACTGAAACTAGACTTACTCTATGATCCAGCAATCCCACTCATGGGCAGATATCCAGAAGGAATTCTAATTCGAAAAAGATACTCGCACCCCAATGTTCATAGTAGCACTATGTCCAAATGTCCATTGACAGCTGACTGGATAAAGATGTGTGGTGTATATGTACAATGGAATACTACTCAGCCATAAAAAGGAATAAAATAATGCCACATGCAGCAACATGGATGGACCTGGAGATTGTTATTCTAAGTGAAGTAAGCCAGAAAGTGAAGGAGAAATACCATATGAGATCACTTATATGTGGAATATAAATAAAAGGACACAAATGAACTTATTTATAAAACAGAAACAGACTCACAGAGAACAAACTTATGGTTACCACGAAGTAAAGAGGGTGGGACGGGATAAACTGGGAATTCTAAATCTGCCTCTCTTGAGGAGTGATGGAAATGTTGTGGTGATCTTGATTGTGGTGGTGGTTTCACTGGTGTATATATCTATCAAAATTCATCAAAGTGTACATCTGAAATATGTGTAATTCACTGTACAGGAATCATACCACAATAAAGGTATTAAAAAAAAAACACTTTGTTTGGCATTAAATTGTTTACCTGGATGCAAGATCCTTAGTGTTTACATTAAAATTTTTATTTACAGTACAAACATAATAGAGAATGTAAAAATCCAAAATGTTATAATTCCACCAGGTTAAAATAAATTCTTATACTTTTTCATGTTTAATACATAGTATTTAAATATTTTCATTTCTAAGAGGATCTATCAAACACATCTCAATGTTTCAGCATGCTTTAGAGAAAAAATACTTAAAATGGATTTTTAAAAATTTATGGTTGCTCTATTATTGGTATTACAACTGGTTAAGGTTTGGAAGTCCAGAAGACTCCTGTCTCTTGTATTAACTGTCCAGAGATAGTATTTTTACATTATGCTTTTATCTTACAAGTACAATATAAACAGAACATCTTTAAGGTATTTTACTACCTGGGCCTTAAGTTAACCAAAACACAAATATTTCAAAAATATAACAGATAAAGGCATACCTCAGAGATATTGCAGGTTTGGTTCCAGATCACTGCAATAAAGTGAATCACACTAATTTTTTGCTTCCCAATGCATATAAAAGTCATGTTTATACTATACTTAAGTCTATTAAATGTGTCAGAGCATTACGTCTAAAAACACCAACACATACCTTAATTAAAAAATACTGATGCTGAAAAAATGGCACCAACAAACTTACCCAATGCAGGGTTGCCACAAACCTTCAGTTTGTTTAAAAAAAAAAAAAAGCAGTATCTGCAAAGAGCAATAAAATGAGGTATGTCTGTAAATGAACCCTTTCTCATAAATTCAGCAGTACCTTGCAAGATTTCTTATAGATTCTCTTAGGGACAATTTAATATTGAGAGGAAAATGTCCATAATTGGAACTCACCACCGGATCTGTTGGATGAAAAATGTTTAGTAATCGGTTACAGATCTCTCTAGGCAAAATATGGTCTTGACTTCCAGTGTTTCCTGGGCGGATGCCACGCAATGCCAAAAAAACTGCTAGTGGGGATCCCATACAGAAGAAATTTTCAACCTAAAATGACAAAGTCATCCTAAATTTTAAAAACGACAAAAGGTTTTTCACAGAAGCTGGGCATAACATAATATATGATAAAATACAAATAATTAAATTATCTTCAAATATATATATTTTTGAATGAGCTTTGTCTAGATGGTATCTGCATTATTTGTTAACTCTATAACAACCATGAATTATTTTAAGCGATCTATCCAGAAGCAACTTCAGTATCTTTAAATCTAAGAGAAAATGACGAATGAGAATAAGGAGAAGGAAGACTTATCAAGCTATCCTGTTTTTGTAAAGTCATAATTTATTAGGTGCTCCAAAACATATAAAGACAATAGGGCTGAGCTTTTGCACTTGGAGTTTACAATCCTGTTGGGGAAGCAGAGTAAAATAAATGCGTAATAGAGGGAAAACGTGCTGTATTAGAGTAGAGAAAGGAGTAACTCATCCCAACTTTGTGGGCCTTACAAAGGAGGAAGCATCTCCACTGGCCATAACAGATGAAAAGGATTTCCAAAGTTGGGGTTGGGATATACTAGGGCTGGAAAGAAAAATATGGAATATTGATAGAACCACATGAAGTAAAGCAGAGGCAGGAAAGAATCTGGCTTAATTCAGAGAATAGTCTCATGTGGTTGAAAAATTGGGTGTGGGGAAAATGTTATTTGGAATGAGTGTGTACAGAACACTGACTGACTAAGAAAGTTGGATTTTATAGCTAGTGAAAGAGAATAGGATTTGACCCATGTTTTAGGAGGTTAGTAAATCTGGTAGTAGCTTGTAAATGAATTGGAAAATTAAGAGGCTGGTGACTTGGAGACAAGGTAGAAAACTAATGAAAGAGTTTAGGTAAAAGATAATCTGAGCCCAGAAGGACAAACTATTCCATTCAGAAATGGAAATGTGAGAGGATAGAGTGGAATCAACATGAATGCATGGAGATGGGAAAAGAAGGCGCCAGAGGCAATTCACAAGACTTGGGTCTGGCTTACTGGAAAGATACTGGTTCCATTAATTGTAACAGGAAATTTTAAGTAAATAATGTTTTTGTTCATAATTAGTTTGAGGTATCTGTAACATACCTAACAGGTAACAGAAGTTAGGATAAGAGATGTAGAATTGAATATATCATATCCAAGGCTGTGTCATCATCATATAAGTGATGTATAAAATCAAAAGAATGGGTGAGATAGCTTAGGAAGTACACAGAATAAAATGGCTTTAGATAGAACTATGAGGAATGTCCACACTTGATTAGCAGGTAAAGGAGGTAAAGCTATAAAAGAGAGGTTGAAAGGAGAAAGAGAACTGGGATAATGCAGCACCATGGAAGTCTAGGGAGGAGAGGGCTTCAAGAAAAATAAGGTGGTCAGAAGCACTGGATTATACAGAACATGACAGCTTCCTCTCCTAAATCCACCCTACCTCTCTTGTGTGTCCCATATCTTGATGCAAGTCATCCCAATTCATCCCTCCCTCTTATCCCCAATATCTAAGAAATCATCCCAAAAGATTCTAACATTTCATTTCATCACCTCTCATCTGGACTATGCTGTTAACAGTGTCCCTACCTTCAATTTTATACACCTTTAATCTTTAATCTCTTCACCACACTTCTGGGGTGATTATTCTTTTCTTTCGTCAAATGAAAAAATAAATATAAATGAACATGTATTCTGAAATGGTACCTTTACATTAAAGAAAGCTTGAGAAAGTGTTTTTTTTTTTAAAGGACTGGGGAACTTAAACATGTTTGAAGGTTGAAGAAATCTAACTTGTGTTAAGATAAATTAAAAATAAAAGAAAAATCATTCGGACTACTAGTGACAGGGCTGAAATGCACACACTTACACATGTACACCCTAGTAAAATGCTTTATGCGTTGGTCAAGCACTTCATAAATATTTGTTAAATTCATAGAACAACTTTTCTTTGTTTATGATTAGTTTGCCATTTAACACAGAAAGGAATTATTCTTTCTCAGATAAGAGTAATGACTGCTTTAGTGTTAATCTACATCCATCAAAGAATTTTAAAGGTGAGGAAGAACTTCAGGCGTTTAGTCTAACCTCCTTGTCCAGAGATGAGTAAACACATGAATGCAGAGATTTGCCTAATGTTATACAACTAGTTAGTGGCAAAGCCTCATGATCAGAACCAAAGTTTCCCAGTTTCCAGACCAATGTTTGTCAATATTTTTTGCCTTTTTAAAAATTTTAATGACCTAACACTTTCATTCTCAAAATAAATCCATCTGCCAGATAATACACATACAAACACTTCTGTTTCTTTTTTAACTCTGGAGTCTTAAGTATTAATTTGCCAATTCATCCTATATTCCTTTTTAAATTTCGGATTTCCATATTTTTTTCTCTATGAGTAATTAAATAATTAAAAATTCATATTATTAGACTCCTGACTATGTGTTAGAAGGACAGACAGTTATGGAGAGCACAAATTCTAGTAATGTGATACTGAATTTTGAGATTCTAATCTACTTTGTGGATCATACTCAATTCTTCAGTACAAAACCCAGGATATGAAAGAGGAGAGTTTACTCTACCAGATCAATTCTACATATTTAACACTGAGTATATATAATAATAGTAGTAGAGATAGAACTCAAATTCCAGGAGGGGATGACTCCAAAGACTCCAATTCTCTTACGACTTTTAAATTTATCTTATATGACTTTTAAATGTGTAAGTTAAAAAAACCTTTATAAGTCATAGAGATAGATTCAGTAAGAAAATTCTTCTTGCTTAAAACAATTTCTGCATCTTTCCATTACCTAACCCGTATTTAAGTTCCTATGATAAATGAAATGGGTATCAAGAAGAGATAATACAGCATACTAGACCCGTGCGTACATTCAACTGGAAATGAGTATTAGGAAACTTAAGTCACGCTCCATTTAACACTGCAAACAGACTGTTATTTAGCTATAGGCTGTGTCCTTCCCAATAGTTAGGTCAATGTCAATGTCTCCCTGCCACTTTTTATTCTTCTGAACCATTGCTTTTGACAGCTCTATTCCGATGCTCAAAAACCCTGGAAAGCTTTCCACTGCATTTATCAAATGTAAGTTCCCCCTTTTGTTTTTAAGCTCTTCCTGCTTCCCCACAGCCCCCATGCCGAGTCCTGTATATTCTAGCCAGACTGGTTTGCTCACCTTGGTCCAAACTAACTGGTGTACCCTCTGCTTTTGCTTTTGTCGTACATTACTGACTGACCGCAATGTCAGCTTTCCATCCCTGGAATCGTCACTGATAGAATTCCACTTATTTTTCTTACCATATACAACTAGTTGGCCAGTAAAGTTTGTTAATTCTAAATACTAAATATTTCCAAGATCTGTCTCTATGTTTCTTGTCTCACTATTTGAGATTATTTGATATTTCTTGGGGGTACTATGAAGTTGTATCCCTCCACAACGAATAACACTGCGTTACGCATTTTGAGAGCTAGGAAACCATCACGTCCATTCTTTTCATACTGCATGTATTCAGAAAGAACCTTCATTTGAAAGAATAATTAGGATTTCATTTGAACCCTAACATCATGCTTCAAATGCTGTTTGAAAAACAACTGAGATGAAAAATGAAAATCTCATCTGTCTTTCCTTACCTTAAATTTTAAGGCAGGTGTTTGTGTCATAGACGATGCCTTCAATCCTTGTAGCCGTTCTTCTATTTCTCTCAACCTAGGAAGGAGTATGAGATTATGCACACATTCATATTTATATATTTTATAAGTATTAGATGTTCACTAGTTCCCTAAAGCATAAAGAAGACAACGAAGACCTAGTATCCAATCCCTCAAACTAATCCTTAAGTGACAGTATTTAAAAATGTACCTGCTGTAGCATAGAAAGTCTATAAAAAAGTTTATAGAATAATTAGTACAAGTACTCCTACTCTTCACAATACATGCTGTTAATAGCTTTCTGGGGGAAATCTTTAGTAAAATGTAAGGAACATCCAAGTATGTATATGCCTTAAATAAAACATACCAAATGTTCATACACTATTTCTATGTCTGTCCTTTTTCTACACTTAATGATGAATCTTAGAGATCTTTTCACTTCACTGCCTCCTGATCTACTTCAATCTCTTTAACAACTGTGTAATTGTCCATGTCATATAGATTAAACCGTTCTTTGCTGATGAAATTATTTCAATGTTTTCCTATTAGTGTTTCATATCTACTTACATTTAATAAACAATGGAACTAAGTTAAAAGAAAAGGTGCAGTTCATTTCCTAAGCCTGTTAAAAAAATTCTTTTTTACTAGCTTTCACATCTAAAATGCAGCTCTGAGCCTTGCCAACATGACATTTTCTTTCAAAACTATCAATTATTTTGACACTATAAATGTGTGTATCTATACTATGGTACGTAACAAGATTGTAAATGAAATCCTTAGACAACTTCTATAAGACTAAAATTCAATGCTTCTTGAGTAAAAATTTAAATCAACTAAACTGTTTTTATATAATGCTAACTATCAAAAAGAGTGACTTTTCACTGTTCTATTAGAATTAATTGGATGATCATTAAGAGAACAAAGACTGAGCATCTAACTAGAGATGAAGATAGGAATGTAGCAGAGAATTAAAAGATGGTATCAGGATGGCCAAAAGTGATTAGGTAAATGTCAAAAATATATTTGTCAAGAAAAAAAAAGCTTTAAAATTATTTTCAGAATAATAAGAAAGGTAAAGGCCCATCTCTAAGATTAGTAAAACTACAAAGGATTACAAACTGGTAAACATTTTCAATAAGGACTCTAGAGAGTGACTCAGCTTTGAATAAGTTTTAGATTTCACTCCTAACAAACTGTGAAGAAGAGACAAAAGAAAAAGATGACTATTTTATGCTATAGGAAAACACGTAATTAGCATGAAAATTAATAGTCTCTAGCTTGATTAGGCATGTTATCTAATAAACTTTGTACCCTAGACAATGTATTTTTTCTTTATTATGAAAATTTTAAGTTTTCTCCTTGGAGGTCCAGTAATTCCATGAAGAATTTTAAAATTCCTTTAAGAGACTAGGGCATTTTACCGTCGTTTGGTCATATAGAGTTCATCAAGAAGGTGTCGCTCTTCATAGCTCATCCATCGCTCATCAGGCAACTCTTCTTCCTTCTGCAGCAATTGTTCATAGAGTCGAACTGGATTCCAGCCAGTCATTATGTCATAAGTGATGACACATCCCAAGGAATGTGACACTATTGAGACTTTACCCCCTTTTTCTTCAAAGTCCGGATTCCGAGAACAGAAAAGGGAATACAGTCGGTTCAGCTCTTGCTGAAGGCCTTTAACTAGCTGTTTGAAATAAGAAAACATCAAATTAGATGTCTAGTAAGATTTCTAAAGAGCCCTGGAAATTTCTTCTTTGTTGCAATGCATTCATATGCAACCCTAAATTCTTGTATCTTCTAGTTTTTAAGCCACAGTAAGTTTTAGGAAAAGACTAAGTTTATAGTAACAGTCACTAACATATTGCATATGCTACATATTATATATACTATTACCTTATGCACTTAAATAAGAGTAATGCAATAAAAGGCCATTGTATGATTGAAGAAAAAGCTAATGTTGATCTACTTGATATTCCAAAATTCCCATTAAGTTGGTAACACAGGTATGAGCAAAAAGTTGTTTTATATGGCTGGTAAGCAGGGCTTTTTTCAGGTTTAGATGTTAATAAATAATGTGGGAATTTTTCTTTGTAAAACTGTTTCCTTTGAAATTTAGCTTTACAATAAGGTTCTTTTGTTACTCAAATCCGTATGTGGCTCTGACTGAGTTTTAAGGCAGTCTTCTTCTCTTCCTACCATTGTTTACTGCTATTTGATTATAAACTTACTGCCTGATATTCAGTTTCTCATTTCAGTACTTCTTAATATGCCAGCTGTTATTCTGGCATACAAACATTAATTATGCATTGTTTCCATTTTCATCTTGTTATTTTGTCTCAAGAGACAACTAGCCTTCATCAGGTTTCACTGAACATTCTTTAGCAGACACAAACTGAAAATTATCTGAGCACTCATATTTGGCAGAGGCAGGAGTGACACGAATGCAGTAACGTGAATGAAGGCGTGGTGCTCTCTCTGGTCGCTGATGTCTCAGTTCTATAATGCAATACTGAGGTCTGGTTAAAGCTACTGAAACCATGTATTGGGTCTGATGAAATATATTCAGCCAGTGAAGGAAGAGATGGACAAGATGAGCTGGTAACATATGGAAGGATGACTAGCTGCCTTTTCTCTAGGGAAGAATGCAAAAATTTTACTTTCACTGAACATTTTACTTTTTCCTGGGAAAAGCAAAAGAATTTCATGCTTTAGTGTAATGATTCTCCTTCAGTGTGCTTGTTAAATACAGACTGCTAGGCTCTGTCCCAGAGTTTCTTAGCCAGCACTTCTGAGGACTACAAGTTAGTGGCAAATGCATATGAAAATCTTCTAAGATATGGTAATTCTAGTCAACAGAATTTAAGAAGTAGGCAGTGTGATGTCAAATTACATGCTCTGTTCAAAGTGAGCTATAACAAAGCTTTGGACTTGGCTTTGACAAGAACATGAAATAGCCCTTAAAATTTTTTCATTTTCCTGATTTACAATCTACATGAAGGGAAGTGTAGAAAAAGCTAATGTTTCAAATAAATAAATTCCTTTAAAAGCAACATTTGCTAATAGTTTTTACTTTTGAAAGCCTTGATTTTAAGATTCTTACCATGTTAAGTCTAGAAATATTAAAAGATAAATAATTAAGTATTCTGGCAAAAGGTACTCAATCTTTTTGTTTTTAAAAAATACCAGCCACCCCCCAAATTAAAGTTGAAAAAAGGGAAAAGATCTACCAGTGGTTAACCTATTTCACATTAAAAAAAATTTAAAGCATCACTCACTATACCCAACATTTTCTTAGTCTAGCAACCATATCTGGTTAACAAAACAAGAGTAAATATCCAAGACAGAGAAAGCCTATTTGACACTACAGTATTTCACCATGGACTGAAACCTAGAATGGATAGTTTCTGAACAGCTGACGTTTTCATCTGTTTTAATAATCATATACATGAATAGAAATGGTCTTTTTCCTTATTAGAACATATCTAGATAGTATAGTATTTTTAATCTTTGCTTATAGCTTACGTATAAAGAACATTTGTGGTCGATACATTATGATTTTGAAAGCTAACTTTTAAAATGGCTTTGCACTACCTCTAAATACTTTTATAAATCATCCACTTAGCAGCAAAAGGAGAAATCCACCTCGATGTTGTATCCAAAAAGTCTACTCTAATTAGGGTTTGTTTTTCCCTTTCTCCTTTCTGATCCAATTATATTCTCCCAGCTAGGATCCCCTTGTGACCAGCCATATTCATTTGGGATATGTGAACCAAGATTAATGATATAACATGTGATCTTAATTTTATTAGCTCTACAATATTATCTAATCAAATCAGCTAACACAAACAACAGGCACTGGGTGGCTTTTCAAAAGTTTTTTTTAAAAGCATTTCTAATTCTCATAACCACTGCATAAAAATTAAAATTTATGAAGAAAATCAATCCAAAAGGAAAAAACCCAGTAGCTTCAAGAGAAAATCCAAACACCCAAAATATGGCTTAAGAATATAATTAATCCTTTGTCCTTCTCCCTACTCCAGGAAATTTTAATGAGGAAAAAGTAATTTAAAGAGTTCATATACATCAATTAGATAATTTTCAAGTAACAATGGCAAGATAGGGCCATGACAATTTTCTTCATAGTTCTTCATTTTAAAAAGCCATTGACAAGAGAGTTCAGATGTACAAAAGATGTAGTTTTCTCTGGATTTTTCATGTTACTTTATTTAGGGTTGAAGAAAGAGCCAAAGGCTCTTGATGATATCCTGATAGTCTAGAATTAGTTTCTTTAAAAAAAAAAACTGGTCCTCAGGAAGTATGACTTGAGAAGTACTGATCGATATGCAAAACTTTCCCCCTAAACATGGCTCTTTAGTGATTATTTGCACAATCACTAACTGGGGTCCTCACATGAGCATCTCAGAATCTTGAGTAAAAAGGGGCCTCAGAGACGATCTAATTTAAACTACTGTGATGATAAAAGTTGCTTCCATAACACCTATGGTGAGCCAGTAAGCATCTACCCCAGTGAGTATCTCCATACTAAAGTGGTCACTTTCATTTAAAAACATTTCTTCCCCAGTTTTATTGAGATATAATTGACATATAACATTGCATAAGTTTAAGGTGTACAGTGTAATGATCTATGTTTATATTATGAAATGATTACCACAGTTAGTTTAGTTTAAATCTATCACCTTATATTATTTACAATTTTTTTCCTTGTGACATTTCTATATTTTTAAGGCAGGTTTAGTTATTACCTAGTTCTTTATTAGAGTAGGAATATTCTCTTCCACAATCATAGCATAGTTATCAACGTCATAATTTACTTAGACATAATATTTTACCTAACCTACCATCCACATTTTAATTCTGTCAGTTGACCTAATAATATCCATTGTAGCACCTCCTTCATCCAGTACAGGGTACGGCTAGGATGAGGTGTAATTAGCTATCGTATCTCAAATCTCCTTATTTGGAACAGTTTCCATATCCATTCTTTGTCTTTTATTATGTCAACATTTTAGAAGAATATAGTCTCATTCCTACTTTTTTTTTAAGAATTCTCTCACTTTAAGTTTGTCTGATGTGTCCTCATAATTGGAATACTGCGTAAATAATGCTGTGTCTTTCTCTGGGTGTCCCTCAGAACATTCAGTAAAGACATTGCTTGATTTCCCCATCGTTTACTTTTCTGCAGTCTGAGAGGATACACTTTAAGACCATGCAAATAATCCATTTCTCATAAAAAATCTGCCCTCATTTCAGCATCCACTGATGATTCTAGTCCAGTCCTCTTCCTGATCCACCATGATAGCTGCAAAATGAGACTCTTTCAATTCCAGCATTCCTTCTACATTTGCTAGTAAGCCCCTGGCATTCTACTGTAGGCAAAGGACCTCCTTGCTCCTCCATTTATCTATTTATAATCAATATGGACTTAGACATTTTTCAATGCTTAAGAATTCCTTAGTATATCATCTTTATTACAATCCTACATCCTTATTATAATTCTATATTTAATATAGAACTAAAATCTATATTAAAAGTACTACTAACAATTCCTTACAATAAGTAATAACAATTACTTAATTTTTTTGGTGCTCAAATTGTTCTAGATTTGGCCAGTGGGAGCTGCTTTTTTAATTTGACTTTTGTGTCCTTTTGTTTTGAGCATTTTTCTACTTTTTGTCAAAACAAGTTGTTCCAGCTTTGACTTGGACCTATCCTGCTCCTGCCCAGCAATCAGCCATTTTTCCAAGAAACTCTAGTTTTTCTTAGTGGGGAATAACAGTACCAGAGGCAAAGATCTAGGTGCTAGTTGTGCTCATTAGACTAGGGTGTCTTTGCTTCTTGGCCTTTTCAGTGGACAAAGGTAGGCAATATATGCATGTATATACTTCTATGTGCTTAAAAATATATGTTTAAATTACATAGACGTTATCTATATACATTCACGTATTTTCAAAATCATACATTCACATTAATACTCTCAATTCCAGTGCCCCCTATGGGGTTCTTTTTTTGCCTGTATTTTTAATAAGCACCACAAGTGACTGTTCAAATTAGGGATGTTTGGGAAACACTGCTGAACATTGCTGATGAATCTCAGTCACAGGCTGTCAGCACTTTTCCAGGAAATTCAACTGGATCAAAAAACCAACAAATTTAAAACACTTCCATTTCATTTATCTTAGCTATCAGTTCCCTTTTCTTAGTATCTGCCTTATTTGATCCCACCCTGAGGATAACTATCTTTGAAGATATAAGAGCAAAATAAGAAGTGATCACTTTCTCAGTCATCATTTGCCAATGGCCAGAGCTCTGAGCCTGACACTTTAACCTTTTTAGTTTTTCTGGATATTAATTCCACTTAAAACTTTTAAAAAAGCACTTATTATTACTTTT